CGGAAGGGTAGGTTGGTTTTTTTTTTCTTCTTAAACAAATTGTTGATTAAATTAAACCCAAACTTTAATTTGAAGCTTTGTAATTTCCGTGTTTCCTTTTTCATTTTCAATATTTGCCAGTTTAATTAGTTTGAAATTACACAAACAGAGAGGCAATATAAAAAATGCATGAAAATACATTTTGCATTACCATTTCGATTTTCAATTTGCCATTTGTGCACTGCAACTGACAGTTAAATTATTATTATTATTATTATTATTACTATTAGTGTTGTTGTACTTGTTAGTTGAGTTTAACTGGCAGTGGCTTTTGCCTCGATAATATTAATATTATTATTGTTATACTTGCCTGTTAGTTTGGGTGATTTTTTATTTGTTGCGGTCATAGAATTTATGGTAAATTAAATTAGCCTGATTGGTATATGCATTTTTAATGACATCACTTCAATCCGTTTTGCCTGGCTGTCAGGCAAAAACCACCCGCGTTACATTTGGTCAGCGTGTGTGCAATGATAAATTAATCAAATGTACGTTTATTACTTTTATTTTATCCCCTCCCGGGAACTTCAATAAACACATTTTATGTTATAATTATAGGGCCCCCAGGAAGAAGTATACACAAAATTAATGCTTCTCTCGCTGCTCCCCTCTTGGAGTCACAATATTTCTATTAGACGACAGACGTTCCTCATCCGAGAGTGTAATAAATTTTATGAAAAACATATACAAACAAACTCATAAACAAGATCCCAGACCAAATTCAAGGTGGAAGCCCACATACTACGTGACCCTCGATGGAATTTTCGTTGCCCAGCTGGAGCGGGGCAGCCCATAAAAGGGAAAATAAACAAAAGAAAGTCAAAGAAAAAGGGGCAAGGAGTTGGAATGCAATCAAAGCTCACGATCTGGCGACTCTGAAAATATTTCTAAAATATTTGAAATATTTTTCAAAAATTATTTAAATAAACTTTCTTTACAGTTTTAGAACTCTCAAGACTATAAAACTTAAATAGACTGAATTTAGAGCTTTTAGAAATAAATAAAATATATAAATAATTATATAAATATACAATTTTGAAATTTATATATATTTTTTGAAAATTATATTTTTAAAATTTAGAAAAAAGAGAAAATAAACAATGAAAGTCAAAGAAAAATGGGCAAGGAGTTGAAATGCAATCAAAGCTCACGATCTGGCGACTCTGAAAATATTTCTAAAATATTTGAAAAATATTTTTAAAAAATTTCAAAGATAATTTAAATGAACTCCTTTCAATTTTAAAACTCTCAAGACTTAAAAACTTAAATAGACTTGACCTAGAGCCTTTAAAATTAAATTAAATATATAGTTAATTATATAAATATACAATAATAATAAAAATAATATTTTAACAATTTTTTTAATCCAATAAAAACCTGCTTCAACAGAGTTGGGCCACAGTTTATAACAAGCTTCTTTTACAAAAAGAGTTTCCTATGAAAAAAAAAACACACAACAAAAAATCGAAAAATCGAAAAAAAAAATCAAACACAGTTAAGTGTGGCCAAATTAATGGACATCGAATGAAGTTGACCGGCTGTCATAAAGCGTTCATAATTACTTTTCACACCGGGCGGCGTGACGAACGTGTTCAAGGGGGGTACACGCAGAGAGGGAGTAGAAGGGGCTGAGACCCCGTCGGCAAAGAACAAAAAAATATATTTATATTAAAACAGGGAAACGAGGAAATACACATACATATTTCGAATAAACAATCATAAATTTCTGTAAACTCCAAGTGAAGGAACGAGGTGCGAGTAGTAGGCATTTCATGGGCTTAGAGCGTATTGCGCACGACATTTGTTTATTTATGGCAAATGACAATAAAATTTAATAACTTTGACACAATTTAATTATATTCGATTTTTTTTTCATTTTTCAATATAACGCGTGGCAACAACAATAACAAATATGGAAAGCCAAACAAAAATCAACACAACATAAAATTTTTATATACGCTGGGCGAGGGCGAAGGGGGGTCATAAGCAAATATATTTATAGAATCTACATATATTTTTTCCCTCTCGATGTTTTTTTTTTTGTTGTTGTTTTTGTTTCCTGCTCCACTGCAGAGGGAAAATTGAATTAAAATTCAACGAGGGCAATTTACAAAATTAGTTTTTGGGAAAAAGCATACAAAAAAGACTAGCGTTTTTTCATTACCCAACACTGGCTATCCATATAGCATATGGCAAATTCCATCGGAATCACAAAACTCGAAATCAAATCGACTAAATTAAGAGCTTTGAGGAATCCAAATCGAAAATGAAATTGATTTGTCATGTTTGAAAGCTGCAAGTCAATTGCATTTTTTTGTGAAGTGCATAGGGGTTTAATAGAAAGCGAAATAGAATCAATACAGGCACTTGATTTTGTTTTTATTTTTAAAGTGCATGTAAAAGAGCAGTTTAATAAATGCAGGGAGAAGGTTTTTGATTTTAATGATGCTAAATATTATCAAGAAGTAAGTAAAGTTTTAAATTATAACTTGAAAAGGCTTGATTTCTTGTTTTTAACAACACTGGTTTTATAACCCGGCTGGTCACACTAACCTATATCAATTAAATATAATTAACTAAATTATAAAATTAATATATCAATTGTGTAATTTTCTTTGAATATATTCCGTATTTAAAAATGGAATTAAATACCTAATAATACTTAATAATAAGCTGGTCACACTTATAATCAAAATATGTAATATTTAACGTACTAAAGTATTCAAAACCTTTCCAACAACCCATGCAAAAGTTAACACAATTCCCTGCTTCACCTGAACCAGTCAAATTGACAGAGTTATTATAGTCTTTATGCGTATATATACATATACATATATATAAATATATTTGCGTATGTTTGCGCACGTTGGCCAGCCAAAAAACCGCAATTGAAATGCAAAATATTGTCCACACATAAATATTTGAAAAATGAAATATGGAGAATAATAACAACAAAAAAAAAAAACATATATATAGTGAAAAAAATCAAAATGCAATGATTGAAAAATGAAAAGGCATATGGAAAAAATTAATTTTGAATGCGCTGCACTCTCCATTGGGGAGAATGTCCTGTCTGCAGTAGCTTTTAAAATTGTGACAACATAAAATAATTGTTTAAGGTCCAAAAATAACAATAAACATGATAGCACATATGAAGCCAAAAGCAAAAAGCAATTTGCAATGCACCAAAAACCAAAAACCCAGGGCCCCAAAACTCCATGGGGAAAGTCACAAAGATTGTGTGAGTGTGTGTGTGTGTGTGGAGTAAATTTATTGATTTCCATATATTTATTTGTGTAAAATGCCATAAATTACAATTATTTAACAGGGCCAGAACACTCACTCTCGACTCCCCACCAAAGCCCCCTTTTTCGCTCCGTGTAGTTGGGTCAGTAGGGCCGCTTTGTTGTTGCCGCCGCTGCTGTTGCATAATTTGTTAGCCAAATTGCAACTCACCTGGTTGTAGGTTGTAGGAGCTGAGCCCCCGATATCGAAGGACCCCGGCCAAACAGAGCCCGGCTGCCTGGCCAGCCAGGCTCATCAAATATGCAAAATTTTGCAAGTCCTTTGCTGGAAATCGCAATTAGGGATGAGCCATGAATGGACCTTTCACAGTGACTTTTATGGCCACTTGATGGTGCATTTGAGGTATAATAATTATTATAATATATAGTTTTGCTATATTTCTTGGTCTCATTTAGTATATGAATATTTGTATATTCATGTAGTAATTATTACAATATAGTTTTTGGGTTCTATGAAAGCTACACCCAAGTCTCTCGATATTTCCTTTAGTCTGGGAATTTTGCTTAGCATTTCTCAATCACTGAATTAACACGGCATTCACTCAGTCATCTCCAAATCAGCTAAAGAGGAGCCCTAACCCCACCCACCCCCTTCCAACGTATTGTTCACATTCCAGAGACTCCTAAGCCTGAAGCCTGTCTGCCTGCCTGGGCCTCCTTTGGAGTTTCTGATCAATCGCTTGGTCATTTGTTGGCTTTCCCCTATGAGAGTGTGTGTGTGTGTGTCTGTGTGTGTGTGTGTGTGTATCATTATCCTGGCATGTCCTTTGTGTGTGCTGGACTATTATGTCCGAAGCTTATTAACTGCGGGTCTCGCAAATGCAATGCAAATAAGCAAATTTGTAATCAAAAGAACGATTTTCATATTTAAGATGGCAGGCACAGCCACACAGTGGTGACAAGGGGGTAATAAAAGGGGGTGGGGAGGGGGTAAGAATTCTTGGGAAAAGGGGTTTAAATTAAGAGGGAGTAAAACCCTCCCTCTCTCCCTCCTCCCACAGAGGCATGCACTTAATTTGGCAATTGTCTCTGCACATATACACACACACACAATATAATTCGTATTGCCTGCCTGTATTTATGGTATGTGTTTGTGTCTGTTTATCTACCTTTATCCCTCCCACCACCCCCCCCACACACACCACTGTATGTGAGCGCCTGTCTTTGTCATTAATATTAATTTCGTGTTTAATTTATTGTAATTTACGTGCATTTGATAAATCGTGTTATTATAATCAGTTGACTGGAAACGTGAAGAAAGGACAAGCCAAGCAAAAGGCTGCACTGAGAAAAATACTAGCTATCAAATAAAATAATTTAAAAATATATGTAAATACATTTTAAAGTAAAAAATAAATATATAAAAAAATAAAAACGTGAAAAAGCAAGGGGCTGCACTGAGAAAAAATATATATAAATATTTTTGTTTAAAAAAAAAATATTTAAAAAAATATTGATTATTATCAAATATTATTAAAATAAATTTTTAAGAAATTCAAATTTTTCAATATTAAAAACCATTATATATTTTTGTTCAGTGCTTGAAAATATGAAAAAGAGTGTGGGTGAAAATGCAATGCATCTGGGGGGGGACTTATATCTATATCTATATGTCCATGACAGGCTGTCTGGGACTTCAATCTAGGACAGACTTACCCTAATCTCAGACCCCACTTTAAGTGCGGGTGTTTTCCTTTAACGTTTCCAATTCCCAGAAGTTGGCTTTAACTTGTAAAACTGCAATGAGAGTGAAGAAAATGAAAATGTGGGTTAATTTCGGTGTATTTATTCATAAAGGAAATCGATAGCAGGGCTCAATTATTTGAGCTACAATTTAGGGTCTATTAAAAAATAGTTATGAAAATATAATTGGTTGTGAAATTGGTATTGAAACACTAATTTTAATCTTAATTTTACTTTAAAGCCCTCTTACTTGTCTTATATATCACCATCAGGCAGTCTTTAAAATTGAAATCTTCTGAAAATATCAACGAATTCGAATTCGAATTGGAAGAAATCACCAATTCCGCCAGCAATCGATGCCAGGCCAACTAATATTTATGAGAATCGCATAGAAAGGACCAAAAAGCACTTGACAGGGATTTCAGGCGAAGGAGAAGGAGATCCAAGGAAAAGGGTAGAAGACGTGGGTAATGTCTGGGTAATAAACATTTTCCTCTCGAGGACAAGTGTCGCATAAAGGAATTCGCTTTCTCCTCACCCTCAATCCCCCTTGATTTTTCTTTTGTGGAATGCATTTTTTATAACAAAATAATTATATTTATGCCACGACGAAGGGGAGGGGAGGTAGATGTGTGTGCATTGGCCATTGCACAGAATGCATTCAAGTCGAAGTAATGCAAAAGGGCGAAATCGCACAAACCCGATTCCCGATACCCCAAACCGAGAGAGAGCCATGGAAAATCCCGCCCTCGAAACCGATTCCCATTTCTGCACATAACGGCATCCATTACACGCAACAACAACAAAAACAAAATGGCGTCTGGGGCGACAATGTGTGCTGCTTGCTTGTGCGTGTATATGCGCGTCTCTTTGTATCTGTATTTGTCGTTGAAATTATTTTTATTATTTTACACAATTTTTATATGGAAAAGCAGCAGCAGCAGCAGCAGGACAAGAGCAAAAAAATGAACTTTTACAGCCGGGCATAAATATTTAGTATATTGTTCTTGTTGTTGCCTGTTTATATTGTTGTATTTAATGAGATTTTTGAACTTTTCTTTGCCATAAGCGCCTTAAGCGCTCACTTCTCTCACAGCAAAAAAACAAAAAAACACTTTACAGAAGCCACAAAATGGAAAGCAAAACACGAAACATTCAAGAAGTTTTTCTTTTTGATGTTTTCCCTCCCAAAAAAAAAAAAAAAAAAGTAAAATAAACCTCAATGGGAGTGTGAAAATAAAAAGGAGCAGGGCTTTTGGGGCTTTTGGAAAAGCAATAAATATATAACTTATTTATTTTTATAATCATAAAAACATTAATAAAGTCCTAGTTTATTCATAAACATCTATTAAGATCTTCATGCGGCTTATCTTCATATCTAAATGACATCAAATTGCATTATTTCCATCCATAAATTCCAAATCGAATTCCCATAATCATGAAATCAATTTATTGTCATCACATTTAAGCCCATTAGTTAGAGGCACGATAAGATCTCCGATCCTAATCTCGAATGCATTTGTCATTCAACCAAAATCGAATCAGAGCAGATCCAAGACCAGTTTTTAGTTGAGCTGTGTGTGTGTGTGGGTTGGTTGTGCAACCCACAAGCTGCTTGGATCGCATAAAATAATAATAATAAAAGAAAACCGGTGGCGAGACTGAGAGACGGAGACTCCAACGCATTCATTAGTTCTCATTAGGAGACAAAACATTTCGAATCCAAGCTCGAATCTGAACGATAAACAAAGCATTTTTCAAAGCGACAAGAAAGGGGTTTTATTGGCGTCTCTAATGAAGCTCTATTAATAAATAAAATAAAGGGAAAAGAGAGGTGATTGTTATTTTACCTTTGGGTGGTCTTTAAGAATGAGAAATAAAATAGTAAATAATATAAAAAATTTATAAAAAAAAAATATAAAATAAGAATATAAAAAATATATAAAGAATATATAAAAAATATATAACAAAAAATATATAGAAAAAAGATGTTTAAAAAAAATATATATATAAAAAATAAATAAAAAAAAAATATATAAAAAAACTATATATATAAAAATCTAAAAAAAAAAAAAAAAAAAATTTTATTATTAAAAAATATGTTAAAAAAAATAGATATATAAAAATGTGTAAAAAATATATGTAAAAAAAAATATATATATTTAAAACAATATATATTTTAAAAATATATATAAAAATTATAAAAAAAATATATACAAATAATATATAAAAAAATGTATATATAAAAATATATAAAAAATATATAATTAAAAAAAAATATATCTAAAAAAAACATTAAAAATAATAATAACTATTACGAATTCATCATTGCATTTTGGATCAGTTTGCAGCTTGTTATTATCCCCCCCATTTCTGTTACCAATTTCCTTTTAGCCATGCAAATATCGATTAAAGTTGGGCCCACCCCCTCGCCTGGAATACACCCTGAAAAAAACAAAAACACACACACACACACACCCTCGAAATTAGTTCGAAAGTCAAACCGGGCAATTAAAAACCTAGAAATGCATATTTTTCCCCCATTTATGAATTATGCAATCGAGGAGGAGGAAAAGTCAACAGGGAAACTGGTTAACAGGGAAACTTCCCCCGCTAAAGGAGGACATGACATAAGCGTTTAAAAAATAAAGGGGGGGAAAAAATAAGAGAGCTCTAGAAAAAAAACAAAACGAAGCCAAATATGCGACGATCATAAAAGGAAACCCAAGACCATGGGTATAGGGTATATGTATGTTATATGGGTTGTGGGTTGTGGGTGGCGGGGGGGAGCCAAAGCAAACATGTGACATATGCGGCAATTAATGCCGTTAATTATTAAAGTTAACACCCAAAAGCGACATGCACAAGTCAAATAAATAAACACGCAGGCAGGCAGGCAGGGAAGTCAATGGCTCTTGGCCATAACCAAAAGCCAAAGCCAAGCCAAAGCCCCCTCCGAAAATGAAAACGAAACGAAAAGAACCCCCCCTCAAAAAAAACCCATAAAATGTCAGCAGCCCCTGCACAAACGCCCCAACAATTAAGGACAATGCGTACTAATTTCAAACGAAAACTTCAACGTGGCCAACGGGAAAGCGGAAAAAAACAACAAGGAATTTAATCGAGAAAAGCCAACACCGAATTTTAGGATATCCTGAAAATAGAGAGTAAGAGCTTTAAATCGGGGATAAGAAATAATATATATATTTATATTATAGATTTTATATTTTAGCCAGGTTCTTTTTCATGTCTTTAGCTTGACTTTATCCCTAAAAAAAAAAACCCTACCTAGTCGATTAATAATGATTTTTATTTATAAACTGGCTCAATAGGAGGGAGGTCCTGGCTGGCTTTAACCCATGCGTGCCTGCAAAGAACAAGAAGAAGCCTCGCTTGTTGGGGAAGGACAGTTGGCACATAAATAATTTACACGCCGTCCTACGTACTGCTGACATAATTTTTTTCCCACAAAAAAAAAAAAAAATACAACAAAAATACAAAAAATTAATACCAGGGAACCCACAATTAGGAGCAGGTTTTACAGGGGTTAGGGGTGGATTTTTTTTTAGTAGGATTTTTTGGAGGGGCCTTTTTACGGGGTTGACAGAAGGGCAGAGGCAGTGCAATGCATAAGCAAACAAAACTTTGGCAATTTTGTGCAACTTTTTGGCTTCCACATTTTGTATAGAAAGCTCTTATTTTTTTCTCATCCCTTTGTAAGTGTGTATGTGTGTGTGTGTGTGTGTCGAGGAAATTATGTTTTTGAAAACAGGAAAACCTTGGCAAGTTCGGAACGAGAAGAAGAAAGCCTTTGTTGGCGAGGCGGGCGAGAGAAAGAGGTAATTCCATTTTAGAATAAGCTTTGCTTAGGTCAAATCGAGTTTAACTTTTTCACAGACTACAAAATCGAGTTGCTGGGAGTTAACAAGTTGTACCAGAAGGAGAATATATTTTTAAATAAAAAAAAAATAGGAAATTTATTTATAAATATATACTATATGCAAAATTCAAGCCAAAGTTTTAGGTTTTGTTAATTTTTGGAATTAAAAAACAAAAAGGTAAATAGAATAAATATTCAAAGAATTATTTTTAGATTTTATTACAAAGATAAAATAATATACCTATAAATTACTAAATAAAATAATATATAAAATAATGTATATAATAATATATAAAATAATAAATAAAATAATATATAATAAAATATATTAAATAATATATAAAAAAATATAATATATTAAACGAATTTTTTAAATAAATATTTAAGATTTTTAAGTTTACAAATCATACAAAACATTAAACAAAACTTTAAATAAATATTTGAAAGGCTTAACCATAATAATTAGACAACTTAAAAACACCTTTGGGGTCATTCAATTGAAATCCCCCCATTTTAAAATTTTTTTTTGTTTATTTTGTTTGTTTTTTATGATATATATCAATTTTTTCTGTTTTTTTTGGGGAAACTGCCTGCCACTTAACGGCCGCATAAAACGCCTATAAGGATGATGGCGGGAAATTTGGAGGGACGCTAGGGGGACCCTGACGATGAGCATATGATTTTCAATTTTTGCCACAAATCCAGACAAGCACACACAAAGAGAGAAGCCTAAACTTTGTTCTCGACCAAAGTGCCAATGGGATAACCAGCAGAATTTGCACTGAGAAAAAAATTTGGGTAATATAGAGTTCCCATTAATATTTGATTTATGAAACATTTTGAATGGCTTTAAATTAAATTAATTATTATTATTATTATATATTATTTATATTATTTATATTATTTATATTATTTATATTATTTATATTATTTATATTATTTATATTATTTATATTATTTATATTATTTACATTATCTATATTAATTATATTATTTATATTATTTAAATTAATAAAAATTGTTTAAATTTTTTGTAATTCTAATTTTTTATCCTTAAAACTCTTTCTATATATTATATGTTATTTATATTTTTTCCCCAGTGCCCGGCTCTAACTTTGTGGCAACTCCTCCGACCCCAAAAAACTCTGTCCTGGGGCCACGCCCCCTTTGGCGC